AGTTACCTGAGTGGTCTCAGAAATCTCCAGTAGAGGCTGGGATAGGGCAACTTCTTACAGGACCTCAGGGAGAGTTTGGCCCTGCAGATTGTAGAAACAATGTGACTAAATTGGGAACATCAAAGGAGTTTCAGGTGCAAGAATGTGCGAGCTGAGAATGGAGGTAGGAATGGTAGGCCATGAGGTGGAGGCAAGGTAAGCAAGAGGATGCACTTGGCTGAAGGAGAGTGGCCACTGAGGAGTAATGGGGGTGAGTGCGGGCCATAGGTTTGATAATTAAAAGGCCTTGGATTTGATATTCTGGGGACTGAGAGCTACTGCAGGAGGGAGAAAGGGTTGCAGAGGTGATACTTTGCCTAGTTTGGGAAGGTCAGGAGCAGCAATGAAACTTACAGCTGAATTGGGGCTCCATATCTTCGAGGACTAAAGTTACTCAGATAGTCTGAGAAACAGTGAATGGACATAGAAGTGGCCCTCCGAAATGTGGCAATTTGGTAATGTTCCTAGGAATCTCCTTATCAGCAATTTGTTCTTCTTTGCCTTCACTTGGAAGCTGCTTTCTCTTACTATAGAGCAGCCATCTCCTTTGAGCCATCCCTTGGCTTAACATAGTCAAATCAGGTTCTTTAGAAACATTCTCCTTTCCCTAAGGCCTTGAGAACATTTCTGTGAAAAGCAGAGGTTGAGAACACACTTTTAAATAGCAGAATACTGTAAAGTTTGGGAGGGGGGAGGAAAGGCAGGTTGGTGACTGGGGATGGGGTTGCTTCTCAGATTGTGTGTAAGAAGTAGAGGTCATGATGGGTGATGGGAAGAGGAAGCAGGTAGATAGGCTGTCTTCCACCTGAGGTCAGCTATGTTGTCTTCTTGCCTGCTTAGGGGGCCTGGCAGCTGTGATCTACACGGACACCTTACAGACAGCAATTATGCTGGTGGGGTCTTTTATCCTGACTGGGTTTGGAAAGCGGGGAAAGGGCAGGCTGAGGAGGGGGTGGGGGAAGATATACAGAGCCAGGCAAAGAAAGTTTGGGGCAGTCAGTGTCCTTTGAAGGGCAGTGGTCCAGCCCACATTGGCCATCACCCAGGAGGACTCAGGTTGGGTCTCCTGTTCTCCCTTGGTAGCCTCAGTCAGTTGACCCCACTGTGGGCCTCTTGTCTGCAGAGAAATCGAGGGGGGGAAAAAGATGAAAAGATGAGACTTAATACCCATTAAGTTAAATATATCCAAGTTTTGTGTTTTCAGTTTTAGCTTATATGTTCCTTACATTTTGAAGTTAAATGTCCACTTTCATGAGTTGTTGACAGTATGTGACAATTTTCCTCTCAATTCCCTTCTTTGAAAAAAAAAACTAAATTGGCCACTTAATGTTGGGCCCCTCTCATTTCTTGAGGTATTACTTGCCTAGAAAACCCTAAAGACAACAGTGGAAACCTGTGTCTATTGACACTTGTTCAGAGAGGACGTAAAATGCACTTCATTTTTAGGTGCACAAGAACTTCTATGTGTCCTGCAAAGACTCTTATGTTCTCTCTAGTGTTCAGTTTTCCATGAACACTTTCATTTGGTATAAAAGCTCCCAAGTAGACCCTGTGGGTCAGCAAGGTGAGGGCTGGAATGACTTGTAAAGAACCCATAGCTGAAAGGTGGCAGGGTTCCAGATTCCTCATTTTCTTGGTTATTGAATCACACTGCTGAGACCAGAGGTGGTAGGTCTCTGTCCAGGTTCCTACTGGTCACTGAGAGTCTATAAGCCTGTGATCTGAGTTCCAAGGACCATGGCAAACAACAGGGAGTGAGGGAAGAAGTATTTGCATGTGATCCAATACTATGAACTTCCTTTAAATTACTGAAATACCTTTCATTTTGTAAAGAAGTTTGTGATTTAGAACACTCTCACAGTTTTTGCTTTGGATCCTCACAGTTTTTGCTTTGGATCCTCATAGTAGCCCCCAAGGGGTTGAGAAAGCTGACACACAGAATGGGAAAATAACTTGCCCAAGACCACACAGTAAGGGCTCTCTCTGGTGGTGGTGTCCTCTCAAATTCTCAGGCTCCAGAGATGAAATCTCTGAAGAGTTGGAAATTTCAGACTGTTTTTGTACCAATGTTTTCCAGCTTTCAATGAAGTGGGAGGGTATGAAGCCTTCATGGAAAAGTATATGAAAGCCATTCCAACCTTAATTTCTGATGGAAACACCACCATCAAGGAAGAATGCTATACTCCAAGAGAAGACTCCTTCCACATCTTCCGAGATCCCCTGAAGGGAGACCTCCCATGGCCTGGGCTCATCTTTGGGCTGGCCATCCTCACCTTGTGGTACTGGTGCACAGATCAGGTACTCAAGCTGGATATGCAGATGTACGGATTTTTCCCAGGGCACTGAAGAGATTTTTGTCTATCAGTGGCTTGTGGGGCTGGGAAACATAGGGGAGGCCTCATGGTCTTGAATGGCTGAGCCCTTATTATATGGGAGTCTCAGGCCAAGGACCCAGGATGGGGCAGCTGGGATAACTGTAAGGTGTCATGGGAATTCTGGGCTGCACCCCTTTCTCACTGGGCTTTCCATGGCAGGTGATTGTGCAGCGCTGCCTCTCAGTCAAGAACATGTCTCACGTGAAGGCCGGCTGTACCCTCTGTGGGTACATGAAGCTGCTGCCCATGTTCCTCATGGTGATGCCAGGGATGATCAGCCGCATTCTCTACACAGGTAATACCTTCTGGGAGACTTACAGACCATACTCATTTCTCTACCTCTGGATCACTTCTAAAGTCCCTAACTTCCTGCTCCCTGTAGTCTGCCCTCTTCTGGCCATGATTACCAAGCATCATTTTCCCCTCTAATCAACAATGAGCAACTTGAGGGCAAAGACGTTTGGGGTTGTGTTCCCTGATTTCTTATGCTGGCAATTGTTTTCTCATTTTATTTTTCAGATCTTTTAAAGTCACAATATGCATCCAACTTGCCTCTTCCATTTAATAACATGTGCTCAATTATAGCCCCCACAGTCACCCCAGGCTTGTCTCATGAAAAAAAAATACAGTCGGTCTTTTATATTCATGACTTGCATGCCTATGCATTCAACTAACTATGATTTGAAAATATTCAGAAAAATATTTTATCTCTATTGAACATGTGTAGGCATTTTTGCCTTGCTATTATTCAACATATTACCATAAATGTTTACACAGCATTGATATCATATTAGGTATTATAAGTAATGTAGAGGTTATTTAAAGTATTCAGGAAGATATGCATGTGTTATGCAAATTCTATACTATGCTATATAAGGTACTTGAGCACCTGCAGGGTTTTGTATCCACTGGGTGTCAAGTAGTGTTCTGGAACCAGTTCCCTCCGTGGACACTGTGGGAAGGCTGTATAACTAACTGAATAGTTTATATTCTAATGAATGTTATACATACTTGTTTACAAAATAGTGCTATGGTTGAATATAGGGCAGCACTAAATGAGATATTCATATAGCAAGTATTGAACAAATGTTTCTTGATCTGAATCCTATACACATTCTTGAATTCTTTCTAAGCTCTAGATTTTGTTCCTTCCCCTCCAAGGCTATTTACTTTTTATCCGTAACCCAGATTTCCCATATTTTGGAAGTGGTATTCAACAATCCGGTCATTGGGGAAATTTCTTCAGTTATTTAGACATTTGACTCTACATCTAAGAGCTGTTTCAAATAAACCTAAAAATTAGGAACCACAAACCACTGTGCTTTTTCAGGAGAAAACAAGGTAATTATCACTACTGTTAGCTGAAGTGCTTTCTCCCCATCTCACCCTAAGCATAGTGTCTGGCAGACTCACAGGCCATACTCATTTCTCTACCCCTGGACCACTTCTAAAGTTCTTAACTTCCCGATCCCTCTTTTTTTCCCCCATCTTCCTCTACTTAAGAACCATCCTTCCTCCCTAGTCAGAGGTTGCGAGTATATCAGGGCAAGAAGTATAGGAGCTTGGGATGGAGATGCTCACTGCAATCTACACTTATTGTGGATCCATTTCAAGGCCCTGGGCAGAAATGTTATATTTGACACCTTGTTTTAAGAAGGTGAATTTTAGAAGTATTCCCCCAATGTGTGTTTTCTGACATGATTCTTTGTCTCTCCCCAGAAAAAAATTGCCTGTGTCCTTTCAGAATGTAAAAAATATTGTGGCACCCCAGTTGGCTGCACCAACATCGCTTCCCCAACCGTGGTAGTGGAGCTCATGCCTGATGGTGAGTCTTTCTTGAGAGGCTGATTGGGTTTAGGCTCCCTTTAAATTCTGGGTGCCTTCTGAGCCTAAGCAGTTTCTGAATCTAGTGGGTCAGTAGGGGAAGTTTCATTGTAAGTGTTTTCAGATTTTGCACATGTCTATAAGACATATGACTTGGTTAGGCTCTATGAGTCCTGGGACTTGTCCATCAGTCAGGCTTGGAAAAGAGATGATCTGAAAATTTATTAGGTAAACTGTGGCTCTTCCATAATAATCTAGAAAATCTTTCTAAAATCTTCAACACAGGCAATACAAACTAGTACAATCATTGTGGAAAACACTATGGAGGTTCTTGAAAAAAAAAAAATAGAACTACCATATGACCTAACAATCCCACTACTGGGTATATATATCTGAAGGAAATGAAATTGGTATGTGGAAGAAATAGAAGCACTCCCATGTTCATTGCAACATGGCTCACAACAGACAAAGTACGAAATCAATTCATGAGCTCAACACTTTAATGGATAAAGAAAAAGTGGTATATATGCACAAAGAAATACTGTTTTGCCTTAAAAGAGAAGAAAATTCTGTCATTTATGACAACTTGGATGAACTTGGAAATCATTATTTTAAGTGAAATAAGCCAGACTCAGAAAGATGAATACTGCAACATCTCATTTAAATACAGAACCTAAAAAGTTAAAATTATAGCAGCAGATAGAATGGTGGTTACCAGGGAGTGAGATAAAGGTTGGCATGGATTGGAGAAATCTTGTTAACAGGATACAAAATTTCAGTTGGGAGGAATAAGTTCAAGAGGTCTATTGTACAGTGTGGTGACTATAGTCATTAACAATATGTGCTTGAAAATTGCTAAGAGTAGATTATCACAAAAAAAGGTAAGTATGTGAGGTCATTGATATGATAATTAGCTAGATTTAGCCATTTCACAATCTATACATATTTCAAAAATCATGGTATACATGATAAATATAAATAATTTTTCTATCCATTAAAAATAAAGCTCTCTAACAAATTAAAATGAAGGTTTAAACTAAGCCTCTGGAGTATAAGAGAATTTTACCTGGGGAATGAATTTACTTTTAAATCATTTCAAGGAATATGTTAGGAGGAAAAAGTCCAGAATTTTAGTGCTAGAAGGAAAGAGTTTGAAATCATAGATAATTTATAGATGGATAGATTTCAGTGTGATTTCTTATCATATAGGATATGTTATCTCAAACTTCTAGAATTACAGGTGAGCCCCACCCTGCTGGGCATGGTGGTACATGCCAGTAATTCCAGCAAATCTGGAGGGAAGGCAGGAGGGTCACAAGTTCAAGGCCAGCCCAAGCAACTTAATGAGACGCTGTATCAATATTAAAATAATTAAAAAGAGCTGTTGATACTGGCAGGGCAGTTGTGGCTCAGCAGTAGAGTGCTGGCCTAGCATTTGTGAGGCACTGGGTTGGATCCTCAGTACCACATTAAAAAAAAGATATTGTATTGTGTCCACCTATAACTAAAAAATAAATATTTTTTTAAAAGAGCTATTGATAAGTATTTAGGCATCCCTGAGAGTTTAATCCCCAGTACCAAAAAAAGAAAAAGAAAAAAAAGAATATGTTATCCTAGAAGACTGAATCCTGAATTTATAATAGCTAGAGTTTGGGGATTGACCTGTGAGATTGTAGTTCATGTTTCACGTTGGAGAAAAAAAAGTTCTCTTAATTATGGCTCAAGGGCTGAAAATCTGGTTAGGTTAGGAATGTTAGCACAAAATGACCAAGCTGGGTGCAAACTTCATGGATCAGCACAGCCTTTATTCAGTGATGAAATGTTGCATCTGGTAGACCCACTTTCCTAATAGAAAATGAGTCAATGACCAAGGGGGAGTCTGTGCTTATATACGCTACACTGAAAGATGACTTAATTATTGACAAAGCATGTCAGTTTGGGCACTCAGGAAACAGGTTTGGGAGAATTTGAAGTTTGTGTTTACTGGGCAATAATTTTACTTGGGGAAGAATGGAGGGCTTGGATCACTGTTCAATGCTTATCTCTTTCCCTTCAGGGTCCCATGTACTCTCACTGGGAAAGGATTTATTTGGGGGAAGGATCAATGCTTTGGCTTCCTTCCAGAGATGTCATTCTAGGCCTGATGGATATCTCCTTCCCTGGGATTGTCTTGTCACTGGATGATATTTGCTTCCTTTCCAGGAAGTGTCCTATCTCTAGAAAAGTGTATACTGGGAAAGGATCAATTTTATCAGTGCATTGTCTTCTTTTTCACTCCCCCTGCCCAGTCCACACTATTTTGGAGTTTGTCATTTTCCATATCTTACAGAGAGGGTCTTAGGAAATAAAGAATTTATAAATATTAATATCTTAATATAGAATAAACTTAAAAATTTTATTATTGAAAAGAAACTTAGAGGCTACTTGGTTAATCTCTTTTTACAGTTGGGAAAACTGAGGCCTCCAGCAAGAAAATAACCTTTTCAAGGCACACAACAACTCTGTCTTCCATCTGGCTTGCTTAAGTCTGCTCAACGCTGGAATTGAGGAATTTGGGAGGGTCCTTTTTCTTTTAAACCACAGGATTCCTGCATGACCTTGGGCAAACTATTTGCATTCAAATGACATAAATAAGAAAGTAATAGTTAAATACACCAGGGAGCCAGGCTGCTTATTAAGGTTGTGAGGAGCAAGAGTGGCAATGGCTCTTCCAGAGTTTTACACTGGTCTCTGTGGGGGCGATTTTGCTATTTCTTTAGATTGACAGAGCTACCCCTGCCCACTCTTCCTGTTTCTCATTTTCCATATTCTTAGGTAGCTTCTTTATGTTTCATCTCACCAGTAAATTGTTTTCCCGTCAGTCCACATCAAATGCTATCACTGTGTCTCCTAAATATCTCTTATCTTCCTCTCTCTCTAAAATTTTGGTCTGATATAAACATTACTTTTTGTCCACACTGCTATATAATTATGTTCAATGAATATTTGTTGAGTGAATAAATGAGAGTTTGAAATGAGTGTGGAAGAGAGGACAGAGTTCTGTCCTAGTTAAGCAATTAACTGATGAAATAACCCTGAGTCAATCACTGAAGACCCTACCTAATAACTCCTTGAAATGGAGTTATTAACTGAAAAATGAGACAGTCAGACTAAGTGGTCTTTCTAACTCCTATAGCTCCAGTATAGTCTATGATCTACATTATATAAACTCAGGAGGAAATATGTTTTTTAATCCTTCTAAAAAATAAAGAGATTGGAAGGGGCAGACTTTATAATCCATATTGCAAGGCTATCTATATGAAACCATAAAATTGTTTATAGATACCAAATAAGGAATAAGAGAATCATGATCCTAAAAGATCTCAAGAGGCATTATTGTTACCCACAACTCAGTTCTTGTCCCTGATAACAATTCAATAAAGTAGACAAGGTTTTGGGAAAAAAAGGAAAAAAGAAGATTTAATACTTTGCAAGCAAAAAAAAAAAAAAAAAAAAAGAAACACAGAACTCCTATCCCAGAGGCTGTGGTTCTGCCCATCAGGAAGAATGGAGAGTTCTGAAAGAGGTGATTTAAAGGCTACATTACAGGTGTGCCCTGATGGGGATCAGAATTCATTTCTTAGATCTAGTATCATCTCTGAAGTGTGAATTACTTCATTCCTGTGATGTGTACTCACAGAAGACAACTAGGCTTAGTATAGGGAAGAAGGGTAATCCTGTTTCCCCCAAGATTAGAGAAGTGGAGAGATTAGGGAAGGGCAGGGGAGACGAGAAAAAAACTTGTCCATTTAAAAATAAGTCACAACTGCAGAGGAGCAAGGGCTATATTTAAAGCATGAGTTAGACAACTGTTACATTGTGTTTATTAGCTTTGTGTCTGTGGCCAAACACCTGAGAAAATCAACCTGAGGGAGGAAAGATTTGTTTTGGCTCATGGTTTCAGAGGTTTCAGTCACTAGAGGTTTCATTCCATTGATTCTAGGCCTTGGTGAGGCAGAACTTCCTGGTGGGGAAGGTGTGGCAGAGGAAAGTTACCTCATACAGCCAGAAGGAGAGAAAAGCGTGAACTACTTCATTCCTGTGGTGAGTGTGTACTCACAGACAGACAACTAGTAAGCCAACAGAGAACTTAAGTACATAAGAGCCTGAGATAAGATCGACCGTAAGGGCTTTGCCTCAAGGACCCACTCTCTTTAATGAGGACCCACCTCCTATAGTTTCTAACACTTCCCAGTAGTGCTACCAAATTATGCATCCACCAATGGATGAATCCACTGATGAGGTTTGAGCCTTTATCACTTCCCAAAAGCCCCACATATGAACAAAGCTGTATTAGAGACTGAGCCTTCAACACATGAGCCGTTCGGGGACATTTCAGATCCAAATCATAACAGGCATGAATGTTGATGCAAATAAGTAAACCAAAGTTAATTTAAATATGAGTCAAGTTCTATATAGTTGGGTTCCTAAATTATGTAGGAATACTGAAGATATTTAGCTTAGAGAATACAGAACTCAAGGGGACACAAGTTATCTTTAAATATATGAAAGAGGTAATGGAGGTGAAAGGTAAGGTCTCTCTCACTGAGTTGCATAAGGACTGAAGCTGTAGAGAGGCATATTTCATCATGGTCAGAACAGTACAAGAGGGAGAAGACTTCCTGTGGTGTAGCACATTTCCTCTTACTGAAGTTTTGGGACCAGGAAGCATTGTGGAAGGGACCCAAGTAGCAGGTAGATGATAAACCTAGGTAATCCCTAAGGTCACTTTGCTTCTGAGCTTGTAAATCTGTGCTGTGATGGTGGGCCCTCAGCTCTCCCTGGCCTTCTGGCCTCAGCAGGTGCAATTGTGTGCCCACAGAGGTATAGAAAGAATGACAGAGATTATAGCCAATCGTGCTTGCTGTGATTGGGAAAACTTTTAAAACAACACCTCTTATTCTGACATGAGTGGATGTCATAGTATCCCTATTTAACACCTCAAGAAATGAGGCCTACAGT